TACTCACCTATATGTACTCGCCTATATGTGGTTGCAGGGGTCGATTCATAGCTCCTGGCCCACCTCTTCACTGATCGCACTAGGGCCTCTCTCTCTCTGCTTCCTGAGCTTTGTCATACCTCTTCTTAAAACTATGTATGGTTCCTGCCTCCACTATTTCACTTGCTAGGCTATTCCACTTCCTGACGACTCTATGACTGAAGAAATACTTCCTAACATCCCTGTGACTCGTCTGAGTCTTCAGCTTCCAAATTTTGACCCTTGTTTTTGTGTCCCCCCTCTGGAACATCCTGTCTCTGTCCACCTTGTCTATTTTCCGCAGTATCTTGTATGTCGTTATCATATCTCCCCTGACCTCCTGTCCTCCCGTGTCGTCAGTCCGATTTCCCTAACCTTTCCTCGTACGACATTCCCCTGAGCTCTGGGGGCTAGCCTTGTTGCAAACCCTTTGTACTTTTTCTAACTTCTTGACGTGCTTGACCCGGTGTGGGTTCCAGACTGGTGGCTGGGATACTCCAGTATGGGCCTAAAAAAAACAGTTTTACAGTGTTCTTGAACGATTTCTTATTAAGGTATCGGAATGCTATTCTCAGGTTTGCCAGGCGCCCGTATGCTGCAGCAGTTATTTGGTTGATGTGGGGGCCTCCGGTTGACGTGCTCGGTGTTATGGTCACCCCAAGGTCTTTCTCCCCGAATGAGGTCTGTAGTCTTTGTCCCCCTAGCCTATATCTGCCTGCGGTCTTCTTTGCCCTCCCCAATCTTCATGACTTTGCATTTGGCAGGGTTGAATTCGAGAAGCCAGTTTCTGGACCCCCATGTCCAGCCTGTCCAGGTCTCTTTGCAGTCCTGCCTCATTCTAATCCGATTTAATTCTTTCATCTACTTCAATCATCTGCGAACAGGGACACTTCAGAGTCTATTCCTTCCATCATGTCGTTCACATATATCAAAATAGCACTGGTCCTAGAACTGACCCCTGTGGGACCCCGCTCGTCACAGGCGCCCAAATGTGATACCTCTTCACGTACCATGACTCGTTGTTGCCTTTCCCCGTCAGGTATTCCTGATCCATTGCAGTGCCCTCCCCGTTTATATGCGCCTGATCCTCCAGCTTCTGCACTAATCTCTTGTGGGGAACTGTGTCAAAGGCCTTCCTGCAGTCTAGGAAAATGCAATCAACCCACCCCCCTCTCTTGTGTCTTACTTCTATTACTTTGTCATAAAACTCCAGAAAGGGTTTTTGACACGGATTTGCCTTCCATAAACCCATTCTGGTTTTCTTTTTTAATTTTGTTCCTTCCAGGTGTTCCACCATTCCTCCTGAAAATCCCATGTTTTGATACAAAAAGGTCAGAGACACGGTTTGTATTTTTGGCCTCATTTATTTTCCCCTTTCTTAATATGGGGACTACATTTGCTGTTTTCCCCATTTCAGGTAGTTGCCCGTTTCAAGGGATGGTTAAAGATTGGGGTTGGGGCTGCACAGAAATTCTGTCCTTCTCTAAGGACCCCGGGGGTTTTGGGTCGGCCCCCATCCCCTTTTGGGGTATAAAGGTCACTTGTAGCTTCTGCCCTTTTCCTGGGTTTGGGTTTTTTTCACCAAACACTTGTTGGTTTTCCCCTTATGTTCCTTCTTTTGTGTTTAAACCCCCCTTCCTTTTCCTATGTAAAAATTTCCTTAAATTTCCTTTTTATTCCTACATCCCCCTGATCTTTTTTTTTGTGAGTTCCCCCCTTTGTCCTAAATTGATCACCGGGTCTTTGATGTTGTCTTCCTCCTATTGGCTAAAAACATTTTTGGGCAGTCTTGATTTTCATGCTATTTTATTTTCATACTGTTGCGGGGCCCCTCCCTCCTTCCCTGTGCAAAAATCGTTTCCGGGCTCTGTGACTAATTCTCTATTTTCATGTGTTTCTTGCTTCTGTATTTTTCCATTCCTTTGCACTTTGTTTTTGCCCCCTTACACGTCGGTTAAACCGGGCTCGTTTGGTCTTCCTTGTTTTTTGCCCTTTGGGGGAATAAACCTTTCCACTGCCTCCTTGCATTTTGTTGTTACATATTCCCATCATTTCATTTACTGGCTTTCCTGCCAGTTCTCTCTCCCACGGAACCTCCTGCAGGAAGTTCCTCAACCTTATGTAGTCCCCTCTTTTATATTCTGGTTTTTCCCATTCAACTCCTGTTACTCTCTAAACTTGCAACTCTACTATGTATTCAAAGCACAGAACCACGTGGTCACTAGCTCCTAGGGGACTCTCATATGTGATATCCTCAATGTCTGAACTGCCAAGGGTGAACACAAGGTCCAATTTTGCTGGTTCATCCTCCCCTCTCACTCTGGTAGTGTCCTTAACATGTTGGTGCATGAAGTTTTCCAGCACCACATCCAACATCTTGGCTCTCCGTGTTTCGGGACCCCCATGTGGCTCCAGGTTTTCCCAGTCGATCTCTCTGTGGTTGAAATCCCCCATAACAAGCAACTTTGCTCTGCTGGAGTGAACTCTTCTTGCCACCTCAGCAAGTGTGTCCACCATTGCTCTGTTGCTCTCTTCATATTCCTCTCTTGGCCTCCTGCAGTTCTGTGGTGGATTATACATCACTGCAATGACCACTTGTGCTCCCCAGACTGAAGTGTACCTATTATGTAGTCCCTTTCTCCTGTCTCGTCTATGCCTCCCATTTTCTCGAATTTCCAGCGGTTTTTTACAAGCAGAGCAACCCCTCCTCCCCCTCTGCCCCTTCTATCTTTCCTCATGATCTGGTATCCTGGTGGGAAGATTGCATCTGTTATTGTCTCCGTGAGTTTTGTGTGTGTATGTGTTGTGTGTGTACTCACCTATTTTGTACTCACCTGTTGAGGCTTGCAGGGGTCGAGTCCGAGCTCCTGGCCCCACCTCTTCACTGGTCGCTACTAGGTCACTCTCCCTGAACCGTGAGCTTTATCATACCTCTGCTTAAAGCTATGTATGGATCCTGCCTCCACTACATCGCTTCCCAAACTATTCCACTTCCTGACTACTCTGTGGCTGAAGAAATACTTCCTAACATCCTGTGGTTCATCTGTGTCTTCAACTTCCAACTGTGTCCCCTTGTTACTGTGTCCAATCTCTGGAACATCCTTGTCTTTGTCCACCTTGTCAATTCCTCTCAGTATTTTGTATGTCGTTATCATGTCCCCCCTATCTCTCCTGTCCTCCAGTGTCGTCAGGTTGATTTCCCTTAACCTCTCCTCGTAGGACATACCCTTAGCTCTGGGACTAGTCTTGTTGCAAACCTTTGCACTTTCTCTAGTTTCTTTACATGCTTGGCTAGCTGTGGGTTCCAAACTGGTGCCGCATACTCCAATATGGGCCTAACGTACACGGTGTACAGGGTCCTGAACGATTCCTAATTAAAATGTCGGAATGCTGTTCTGAGGTTTACCAGGCGCCCATATGCTGCAGCCGTTATTTGGTTGATGTGCGCTTCAGGAGATGTGCCTGGTGTTATACTCACTCCAAGATCTTTTTCCTTGAGTGAAGTTTGTAGTCTCTGGCCCCCCTAGACTGTACTCCGTCTGCGGTCTTCTTTGCCCTTCCCCAATCTTTATGACTTTGCACTTGGTGGGATTGAACTCCAGGAGCCAATTGCTGGACCAGGTCTGCAGCCTGTCCAGATCCCTTTGTAGTTCTGCCTGGTATTCGATCGAGTGAATTCTTCTCATCAACTTCACGTCATCTGCAAACAGGGACACCTCGGAGTCTATTCCTTCCGTCATGTCGTTCACAAATACCAGAAACAGCATTGGTCCTAGGACTGACCCCTGTGGGGACCCCGCTGGTCACAGGTGCCCACTCTGACACCTCGCCACGTACCATGACTCGCTGCTGTCTTCCTGACAATTATTTCCTGATCCAATGTAGTGCCTTCCCTGTTATCCCTGCTTGGTCCTCCAGTTTTTGCACTAATCTCTTGTGTGGAACTGTGTCAAACGCCGTCGTGCAGTCCAAGAAAATGCAATCCACCCATCCCTCTCTCTCTTGTCTTTCTGCTGTCACCATATCATAGAACTCCAGTATGTTTGTGACACAGGATTTCCCGTCCCTGAAACCATGTTGGCTGCTGTTGATGAGATCGTTCCTTTCTAGGTGTTCCACCACTCTTCCCCTGATAATCTTCTCCATGTTTGCAAAATTATACATGTCAGTGATAAGGGGTTGAAAGTTTGTGCTTCATTCGGGTCTCGTGTGTGTGTGTTGTGTGTGTTGTGTGGTGTGTGGTGTGTGTGTTTTAAAACAATAATTTTTTGGCCCCAAATAAACTATTACAGTTTGTGCCCGGGTGTGGACGTGGGAATTCTCATTACTCTATAATTTGTTCAGATTGTAGCCATGTATAAAGTAAAGCAAATTTACTTACTTACTTGATTCAATTACCTTCGTAACTTCTGATTTATTACCTTTGTAACTAGTTCAGCTATCATAACCTGGGGTCCGTCCCTGACCCATTATGTTCCTCTTTTAATCTTTTGACTCCCGCCCACATGTTGGTATGATGGGGGCATACAAACATATTAAAGAAAAGAAAGACAGGGATAGAAGAAATTTGAAAAAAGTATAGCAGAACACGATAGTGGATATGTATAAATATGAAAGAACCGAAAAGAGTTTGGACAATGAATGATCAACAGCAATGAAAGTTTAGACCCCATGAGGAATGATTGGAAAACGTAAGAAATAGGTTGACAAGGATGGCGACACAGGGGTAGAAAAAATATTAAATTTTTAATAAAATTTTACGTCAAAACCTTTAATTACGAAATTTCATAAACAAGTCCAATATTAAACATCTTGTAAATCCTCAATAATATCTACTGGATGTAAATATTTATATCACATTTTAACAGAAATGTATCACCGTCCTCCCCTTGGCTCATGAACCCTTTCGGGTTTAGGCGCCTCCCCCCCCACCCTCCGTGAAGACTTACGAAGAGTGAGAGTGGCAGGTATAAGGTACGCACCTGTCTGACACCTGTCTCCGTGAAGCCGTGGGGGCACTGGCACTGACCCGTCACGTGGTCACAGGTGGCACCGTGGTCACACTCGCACACGTCACCACACTCGTCCCCCCACGAACCTGCAATCACATCATAACCACATCAATCATCCTCATGATCCTGCAACCACTTTACAACCACGTCAACCATCCTACAACTACATGTTCAAGGTTCACGTACACAGGATGTGAACCACAGGATGTGAACCACAGGATGTGAACCACAGGATGTGAACCACAGGATGTGAACAACAGGATGTGAACCACAGGATGTGAACCACAGGATGTGAAAAAACAGGATTGAACCACAGGTTTGGTGAACCACAGGTTTGTGAACCACAGGATGTGAACCACATGATGTGAACAACAGGATGTGAACCACATGATGTGAACCACAGGGTGTGAACCACAGGATGTGAACCACAGGATGTGAACCACAGGATGTGAACCAAATGATGTGAACCACAGGGTGTGAACCACATGAATGTGAACAACAGGATTGTGAACCACATGATGTGGAACCACAGGGTGTGAACCTCAGGGTGTGAACCACAGGAGTGAACCACAGGGGGGAACCACAGGATGTGGCCACAGGATGTGAATCACAGGATGTGAACCACAGGATGTGAACAACAGGATGTGAACCACAGGATGTGAACCACAGGATGTGAACCACAGGGTGTGAACCACAGGATGTGAACCACAGGATGTGAACACAGGTTTGTAAAACCACAGGATGTGAACAACAGGATGTGAATCACAGGATGTGAACAACAGGATGTGAACCACATGATGTGAACAACAGGATTTTAAAACCACAGGAATGTGAACCACAGGAGTGAACCACAGGGTGTGAACCACAGGATGTGAGCCACAGGATGTGAATCACAGGATGTGAACCACAGGATGTGAACAACAGGATGTGAACCACAGGATGTAAAACCACAGGGTGTGAAAACAGATGTGAGCACAGGATGTGGAATCACAGGATGTGAACCCAAGGATGTGAACAACGGGAAATGTAACCACAGGATGTGAACCACAGGATGAGAAACCACAGGATGTGAACCACAGTTGTGAACCACAGGATGTGAACCACAGGATGTTAACCACAGGGTTGACAAGGGTTTTGTGAACCAAGGTGTGAACCAACAGGGTGTGAACCACAGGATGTGAACCAAAAGGGTGTGAACACGGGATGTGAGCCCAGGATGTGAATCACAGGATGTGAACCACAGGATGTGAACAACAGGATGTGAACCACGGATTGAACCACAGGGTGTGAACAACGGGATGTGAGCCACAGGATGTGAATCACAGGATGTGAACCACAGGTTTTAACAACAGGATGTGAACCACAGGATGTGAACCACAGGATAAAGAACCACAGGATGTGAACCACAGGATGTGAACCACGATGTGAACCACAGGATGTTAACCACGGGGTGTAAACAACAGGGTGTGAACCACGGGTTTTGTGAACCACAGGGTGTTAACCACAGGCGTGAACAACGGGAAATGTGAACCACAGGATGTGAACAACAGGATGTGAACCAAGGATGTGAAAAACAGGATGTGAACCACAGGATGTGAACAACAGGATGTGAACCACAGGATGTGAACCACAGGATGAGAACCACAGGATGTGAACCACAGGATGTGAACCACAGGATGTGAACCACAGGATGTTAACCACAGGGTGTAAAACCACAGGGTGTGAACCACAGGGTGTGAAACAGGCTGTGAACAACAGGATTTTGAACCCACAGGATGTGAACAACAGGATGTAAACCCACGATTGTGAACAACAGGATGTGAACCAACAGGATGTGAACACAGGATGTAACCACGGATGTGAACCACAGGATGTGAACCACAGGATGTGAACCACAGGTGTAAAACCACAGGGTGTGAACCACAGGAATGTGAACCACAGGATATGAACCCACAGGATGTGAACCCACAGGGTGTAAAACCACAGGATGTTGAAACAGGGTGTGAACCACAGGGTGTGAACCACAGGGGTGTGAACAACAGGATGTGAACCACAGGATGTGAACCCGGTTTGTGACACAGGGATTTGAACCACGGGTGTGAACCACAGATGTGAAACCCAGATGTGAACCAAGGATGTGACCACGGGATTGACCACAGGGGTGTAAACCAAGGTGTGACCACAGGATGTGAACCCAAAATGGGGAACACAGGATGTGAACACAGGATGTGAACCACAGGGTGAGAACCACAGGTTTTGTGAACCACAGGATGTAAAACCACAGGGTGTAAAACCACAGGGATGTGAACCACAGGATGTGAACCACAGGGTGTGAACCACAGGGTGTGAACCACAGGGTGTGAACCACAGGGTGTGAACCACAGGGTGTGAACCACAGGGTGTGAACCACAGGGTGTGAACACGGGTGTGAACCACAGGATGTTGAACCACAGGGTGTGAACCACAGGGGGGTGAACCACAGGATGTGAACCACAGGATGTGAACCCAGGATGTGAACCACAGGATGTGAACCACAGGGTGTGAGCCACAGGGTGTGAACCACAGGGTGTGAACGACAGGGTGTGAACCACAGGATGTGAACCACAGGATGTGAACCACAGGGTGTGAAACCACAGGATGTGGAGCCACAGGATGTGAATCACAGGATGTGAACCACAGGATGTGAACCACAGGATGTGAACCACAGGGTGTGAACCACAGGATGTGAGGCACAGGATGTGAACCACAGGATGTGAACAACAGGATGTGCACCACAGGATGTGCACCATAGGATGTGAACCACAGGATGTGAACCACAGGATGTGAACCACAGGTTTATGAACCACAGGATGTGAACACAGAATGTGAACCACAGGATATGAACCACAGGATGTGAACCACAGGGTGTGAACCACAGGATGTGAACCACAGGATGTGAACCACAGGATGTGCACCACAGGATGTGAACCACAGGATGTGAACCACAGGATGTGAACCACAGAATGTGAACCACAGGATGTGAACCACAGGATGTGAACCACAGAATGTGAACACCCAGGAAGGGGAACCACAGGATGTGAACCACAGGATGTGAACCACAGAATGTGAACCACAGAATGTGAACCACAGGATGTGAACCACAGGATGTGAACCACAGGATGTGAACCACAGGATGTGAACCACAGGATGTGAACCACAGGATGTGAACCACAGGATGTGAACCACAGGATGTAAACCCCACAGGATGTGAACCACAGAATGTGAAACCACAGGATGTGAACCACAGGATGTGAACCGCAGGATGTGAACCACAGGATGTGCACCACAGGATGTGAACCACAGGATGTACACCACAGGATGTGAGCCACAGGATGTGAACCACAGGATGTGCACCACAGGATGTGAACCACAGGATGTACACCACAGGATGTGAGCCACAGGATGTAAAACAACAGGATGTGAAACCACAGGAGTGCACCACAGGATGTGCACCACAGGATGTGACACAGGATGTACACCACGGGAGTGAGCCACAGGATGTAAAACACAGGATGTGCACCACAGGATGTGAACCACAGGATGTACACCCGGATGTGAGCCACAGGATGAGACCCACAGGATGTGAACCACGGGATGTGAACCACAGGATGTAAAACCACAGGATGTGAACCACAGGATGTGAACCACAGGATGTACACCACGGGATGTGAGCCACAGGATGTGAGCCACAGGATGTGAACCACAGGATGTGAACCACAGGATGTGAACCACAGGATGTGAACCACAGGATGTACACCACAGGATGTGAGCCACAGGATGTGAACCACAGGATGTGAACCACAGGATGTGAACCACAGGATGTGAGCCACAGGATGTGCGCCACAGGATGTAAACCACAGGATGTGCACCACAGGATGTGAACCACAGGATGTGAACCACAGGATGTGAACCACAGGATGTGAACCACAGGATGTGAACCACAGGATGTGAACCACAGGATGTGAACCACAGGATGTGAACCACAGGATGTGAACCACAGGATGTGAACCACAGGATGTTCACCACAGGATGTTCACCACAGGATGTTCACCACAGGATGTGCACCACAGGATGTGAACCACTGTCAAACCCGACCACTGGTCTGACATAATGTCCTTCAGAATCTGTCAGTTACAAGCTGTGTGTATTGTATATATTTACATCTGTGTTAACGATTATTTGCAGGGCGACTGACCTTGGTGGCATGGCTTGTTGCAGTGTTGACCTCGCCAGCCAGGAGCACAAGTGCAGGCACCAGTCATGGGGTTACAGGTGCCACCGTGCTTACACTGGCACTCCATCACACACCCAGGACCATACTTGTCTGGACTACACTCTGTAACACAAGGTCACACATGATAAATACACAACACAGAATGTGTGTGTGTGTATGTGTGCTCACCTATTTGTGGTTGAAGGGGTCGATTCATAGCTCCTGGCCCCGTTCCTTCACTGGTCGCTACTAAGTCCACTCTCTCCCTGCTTCAAGAGCCTTATCATACCTCTTCTTAAAACTTTGTATTGATTCTGCCTCCACTACATCACTGTGTGTGTGTGTGTGTGTGTGTGTGTGTGTGTGTGTGTGTGGTGTGTGTGTGTGTGTGTGTGTGTGTGTGTGTGTACTCACTTATTTGTAGTTGCAGGGGTCGAGTTATAGCTCCTGGCCCCATCTCTTCATGTGTGTGTGTGTGTGTGTGTGTGTGTGTGTGTGTGTGTGGTGTGTGGGGTTTTGTGGACCGTATTGGTATCACTGTTCTTCAAAATATTTAAAAAAATCATTGATTTAGAACTAGACAACTGACCCATCTGGCATTTGGCTCCCGTGTAACCCGGAGGACAGATGCAGGCACCGGTGTCATGCTCGCAGGTGGCATTGCGCAGACACATGCACAAGAAACGGCACTTCTGGCCGTACGTTCCCTCCGGGCACCTGTCTTGACACCTGGCACCTGTGTAGCCAGGCTGGCACACACACGCTCCTGACACTCGGTCACAGGTGCCACCGTTGTGGCACACACACCTGTGTTGGCAGCTGTCGCCCCAGCGGTCTACCGGACACACTGGAAGACAAGGGAATCTGTCGACACATTTTTCAAGCGAGGTTCCTGATTTTTTAAAAATATTGAACAGATTTTGAGAGAATTGAACAAACATATTTTGAGGGCATTGAACAAACATATTTTGAGAAGCACTGAACAGATTTTGAGAGTATTAAACAAATAGATTTTGAGAGCACTGAACAAGTAGATTTTGGGAGCGTTGAACAAAGATTTTGAGAGTGTTGCCTCCCATACCTTGGCTCAAACCTATCTCCCATTCCCCAGGCACTATATCAACCCCTAAACGTTTAGCGCTTCCCCGTGAATATCAAATTTACTAAAGTGTTGAACTATACAACATTGACCTGGAACTATACAACATTGACCTGGAACTATACAACATTGACCTGGAACTATACAACAGTGACCTGGAACTATACAACATTGACCTAGAACTATACAACATTGACCTAGAACTATACAACATTGACCTGGAACTATACAACAGTGACCTGGAACTATACAACATTGACCTGGAACTATACAACATTGACCTGGAACTATACAACATTGACCTAGAACTATAAAACATTGACCTGGAACTATACAACATTGACCTAGAACTATACAACAGTGACCTAGAACTATACAACATTGACCTGGAACTATACAACAGTGACCTAGAACTATACAACATTGACCTGGAACTATACAACATTGACCTGGAACTATACAACATTGACCTGGAACTATACAACATTGACCTGGAACTATACAACAGTTTACCTGGAACTATACAACATGACCTAGAACTAACAACATTGACCTAGAACTATACAACATTGACCTGGAACTATACAACATTGACCTGGAACTATACAACATTGACCTGGAACTATACAACATTGACCTGGAACTATACAACATTGACCTAGAACTATACAACATTGACCTGGAACTATACAACATTGACCTAGAACTATACAACAGTGACCTAGAACTATACAACATTGACCTGGAACTATACAACAGTGACCTAGAACTATACAACATTGACCTGGAACTATACAACATTGACCTGGAACTATAAAACATTGACCTGGAACTATACAACATTGACCTAGAACTATACAACATTGACCTGGAACTATACAACATTGACCTAGAACTATACAACATTGACCTGGAACTATACAACATTGACCTAGAACTATACAACATTGACCTAGAACTATACAACAGTGACCTAGAACTATACAACAGTGACCTAGAACTATACAACATTGACCTGGAACTATACAACATTGACCTGGAACTATACAACATTGACCTAGAACTATACAAAAAGTGACCTAGAACTAATACAACATTGACCTGGAACTATACAACAGTGACCTAGAACTATACAACATTGACCTGGAACTATACAACATTGACCTAGAACTATACAACATTGACCTGGAACTATACAACATTGACCTAGAACTATACAACATTGACCTAGAACTATACAACATTGACCTAGAACTATACAACATTGACCTGGAACTATACAACATTGACCTGGAACTATACAACATTGACCTGGAACTATACAACATTGACCTGGAACTATACAACATTGACCTGGAACTATACAACATTCACCTAGAACTATACAACAGTGACCTAGAACTATACAACATTGACCTGGAACTATACAACAGTGACCTAGAACTATACAACATTGACCTGGAACTATACAATATTGACCTGGAACTATACAACATTGACCTGGAACTATACAACATTGACCGGAACTATACAACATTTACCTAGAAAAAATACAACATTTACCTAGAACTATACAACAGTGACATAGAACTATACAACATTGACCTGGAACTATACAACATTGACCTGGAACTATACAACATTGACCTGGAACTATACAACATTGACCTAGAACTATACAACAGTGACCTAGAACTATACAACATTGACCTGGAACTATACAACATTGACCTAGAACTATACAACATTGACCTGGAACTATACAACAGTGACCAGGAACTATACAACATTGACCTGGAACTATACAAAAATTGACCTAGAACTATACAACAAATGACCTAGAACTATACAACAGTGACCTAAAACTATACAACAATTGACCTAAACTACACAACATTGACCTGGAAAATATACAACATTGACCTGGAACTATACAACAGTGACCCAGAACTATACAACATTGACCTAGAACTATACAACTTGACCTGGAACTATACAACACTGACCTGGAACTATACAACATTGAAACCTGGAACTATACAACATTGACCTAGACTATACAACAGTGACCTAGAACTTACAACAGGGACCTAGAACTATACAACATTGACCTGGAACTATACAACATTGACCTAGAACTATACAACAGTGACCTGGAACTATACAACATTGACCTGGAACTATACAACATTGACCTGGAACTATACAACAGTGACCTAGAACTATTCAACATTGACCTGGAACTATACAACAGTGACCTAGAACTATACAACATTGACCTAGAACTATACAACAGTGACCTAGAACTATACAACATTGACCTAGAACTATACAACATTGACCTGGAACTATACAACAGTGACCTGGAACTACACAACATTGACCTGGAACTATACAACATTGACCTAGAACTATACAACAGTGACCTGGAACTATACAACATTGACCCTAGAAACCCATACAACAGTGACCTAGAACTATACAACAGTGACCTAGAACTATACAACATTGACCTGGAACTATACAACATTGACCTAGAACTATACAACAGTGACCTGGAACTATACAACATTGACCTGGAACTATACAACATTGACCTGGAACTATACAACAGTGACCTAGAACTATACAACATTGACCTGGAACTATACAACAGTGACCTAGAAACTATACACATTGACCTTTGAACTATACAAAAGTGACCTAAAAATATAAAACATTGACCTAGAACTATACAACATTGACCTGGAACTATACAACAGTGACCTGGAACTATACAACATTGACCTGGAACTATACAACAGTGACCTAGAACTATACAACAGTGACCTGGAACTATACAACATTGACCTAGAACTATACAACAGTGACCTGGAACTATACAACATTGACCTAGAACTATACAACAGTGACCTGGAACTATACAACATTGACCTAGAACTATACAACATTGACCTAGAACTATACAACATTGACCTGGAACTATACAACATTGACCTAGAACTATACAACATTGACCTGGAACTATACAACATTGACCTGGAACTATACAACAGTGACCTAGAACTATACAACATTGACCTGGAGTTATACAACAGTGACCTAGAACTATACAACATTGACCTGGAACTATACAACATTGACCTAGAACTATACAACATTGACCTGGAACTATACAACAGTGACCTGGAACTATATAACATTGACCTGGAACTATACAACATTGACCTAGTACTATACAACATTGACCTGGAACTATACAACATTGACCTGGAACTATACAACAGTGACCTAGAACTATACGACATTGGCCTGGAACTATACAACAGTGACCTAGAACTATACAACATTGACCTGGAACTATACAACAGTGACCTGGAACTATACAACATTGACCTGGAATTATACAACATTGACCTGGAACTATACAACATTGACCTAGAACTATACAACATTGACCTAGAACTATACAACAGTGACCTGGAACTATACAACATTGACCTGGAACTATACAACATTGACCTGGAACTATACAACATTGACCTAGAACTATACAACATTGACCTAGAACTATACAACAGTGACATAGAACTATACAACATTGACCTGGAACTATACAACATTGACCTGGAACTATACAACATTGACCTGGAACTATACAACATTGACCTGGAACTATACAACAGTGACCTAGAACTATACAATATTGACCTTAAACTATACAACATTGACCTAGAACTATACAACATTGACCTGGAAAATATACAACAGTGACGGAACTATACAACATTGACCTGGAACTATACAACATTGACCTAGAACTATACAACAGTGACCTAGAACTATACAACAGTGACCTAGAACTATACAACATTGACCTAGAACTACACAACATTGACCAGGAACTATACAACATTGACCTGGAACTATACAACAGTGACCTAGAACTATACAACATTGACCTAGAACTATACAACATTGACCTGGAACTATACAACACTGACCTGGAACTATACAACATTGACCTGGAACTATACAACATTTACCTTTGAATATACAACAGTGACCTAGAACTATACAACAGTGACCTAGAACTATACAACATTGACCTGGAACTATACAACATTGACCTAGAACTATACAACAGTGACCTGGAACTATACAACATTGACCTGGAACTATACAACATTGACCTGGAACTATACAACAGTGACCTAGAACTATTCAACATTGACCTGGAACTATACAACAGTGACCTAGAACTATACAACATTGACCTAGAACTATACAACAGTGACCTAGAACTATACAACATTGACCTAGAACTATACAACAGTGACCTAGAAAATATACAACATTGACCCAGAAAATATACAACAAATTTACCTGGAACTATACAACAGTGACCTGGAACTACACAACATTGACCTGGAACTATACAACATTGACCTAGAACTATACAACAGTGACCTGGAACTATACAACATTGACCTAGAACTATACAACAGTGACCTAGAACTATACAACAGTGACCTAGAACTATACAACATTGACCTGGAACTATACAACATTTTTACCTGGAAAATATACAACTTGACCTAGAACTATACAACAGTGACCTAGAACTATACAACAGTGACCTAGAACTATACAACATTGACCTGGAACTATACAACATTGACCTAGAACTATACAACAGTGACCTGGAACTATACAACATTGACCTGGAACTATACAACATTGACCTGGAACTATACAACAGTGACCTAGAACTATTCAACATTGACCTGGAACTATACAACAGTGACCTAGAACTATACAACATTGACCTAGAACTATACAACAGTGACCTAGAACTATACAACATTGACTAGAGTATACAACATTGGGCCTGGAACTATACAACAGGACCTGGAACTACACAACATTGACCTGGAACTATACAACATTGACCTAGAACTATACAACAGTGACCTGGAACATACAACATTGACCTGAACTATACAACAGTGACCTAGAACTATACAACAGTGACCTAGAACTATACAACCATTGACCCGGAACTATACAAAATTGGAACCCAGAACTATTACAACAGTGACCTGGAACTATACAACCCTTGACCTGGAACATACAAATTGACCTGGAACTTACAACAGTGACCTAGAACTATACAACATTGACCTGGAACAAAACAAAAAGTGACCTGAACTATACAACATTGACCTAGAACTATACAACAGTGACCCAAACTATACAACATTGAACCCAGAACTTACAAATTGACCTGGAACTATACAACAGTGACCCGAATATAAACATTGACCTGGAATATACAACAGTGACCCAGAACTATACAACAGTGACCTGGAACTTACAACATTGACCTAGAAAATATCAACTGACTGGAACTAAACAACATTGACTGAACTATACAACAGGACCTGGAACTATACAACATTGACCTAGAACTATACAACAGTGACCTAGAACTATAAACATTGACCTGGAACTTTACAACATTGACCTAGAACTATACAACATTTACCTGGAAACTATACAATTGACCTGGAACTAACAAAAGGGGACCCCAGAACTATACAACATTGACCTGGAGTTATACAACAGTGACCTAGAAAATATACAACATTGACCTGGAACTATACAACATTTGACCTAGAACTATACAACATTGACCTGACTATACAACAGTGACCTGGAACTATACAACATGACCTGGAAATATACAAAATTGAACCCATACTATACAACATTGAACCTGGAACTATACAACATTGACCTGGAACATACAACATGACAAAATATAGACATTTTGGGCCCGGAACTATACAACAGTGACCTAGAACTAAACAACATTTACCTGGAATATACAAACAGTGACCTGGAAAAACTATACAACATTGACCTGGAATTATACAACATTGACCTGGAACTATACAACATTGACCTAAACTATACAACATTGACCTAGAACTAACAACATGACTGGAACTATACAACATTGACTGGAACTATACACATTGACCTGGAACTATACAACAATGACCTAGAAAACTATACAACATTGACCTGGAACTATACAACAGTGACCTGGAACTATACAACATTGCCTAGAACTATACAACATTGACCCGGAACTATACAACATTGACCTGGAACTAACAACAGTGACCTAAACTATAAACATTGACCTGGAACTATACAACATTGACCTGGAACTATAACATTTACTGGACTATAAACATTGACCTGGAACTATACAAAATTGACCTAGAACTATACAACATTGACCTAGAACTATACAAAAGTGACCTTGAAAATATAAACAGTGTCCTGGAACTAAAACAACAGTGACCTGGAAAATATAAACATTGGGCCTAGTACTATATAACATTGACCTAGAACTATACAACAGTGACCTAGAACTATACAACAGTGACCTGGAACTATACAACAGTGACCTGGAACTATACAACACTGACCTAGAACTATACAACATGACCTAGAACTATACAACAGTGAAACCTAGAACTATACAACAGTGACCTGGAACTATACAACAGTGACCTGGAACTATACAACATTGACCTAGAACTATACAACATTGACCTAGAACTATACAACAGTGACCTAGAACTATACAACAGTGACCTAGAACTATACAACAGTGACCTAGAACTATACAACAGTGACCTCCATGCAGGTGGTGGGAACTCACTCATGATACAGTGGGGACCATGGGTGCCCGGGGGACACAGACAACTGCCGCTGACGGGGTCACATTCGGCACCACTGCTACAGGAACACAGCTGGCGGCACTCCTGGCCCCAGGTGCCGTTAAGACACGGCTTCGAGCAGTGCCTTCCTTGCCACCCTGAGGAAGACCGTGCCAGAGATGATTTAGAGAGCGACAGGGATGTGTCAAACACATTAATAATAATAATAATAATAATAATAATAAGCGATGATAATAACAATAATAATATACATGTTGATGTTAATGATAATAAACATTGAAAATAATAATAATAATAATAATAATAATAATAATAATAATAATAATAATAATAATATTTTATTATTAACACACTGGCTGATTCCCACCAAGGCAGGGTGGCCCGAAAAAGAAAAACTTTCACCATCATTCACTCCATCACTGTCTTGCCAGAAGGGTGCTTTACACTACAGTTTTTAAACTGCAACATTAACACCCCTCCTTCAGAGTGCAGGCACTGTACTTCCCATCTCCAGGACTCAAGTCCGGCCTGCCGGTTTCCCTGAACCCCTTCATAAATGTTACTTTGCTCACACTCCAACAGCACGTCAAGTATTAAAAACCATTTGTCTCCATTCACTTCTATCAAACACGCTCACGCATGCCTGCTGGAAGTCCAAGCCCCTCGCACACAAAACCTCCTTTACCCCTCTCTCCAACCTTTCCTAGGCCGACCCCTACCCCGCCTTCCTTCCACTACAGACTGATACACTCTTGAAGTCATTCAGTTTCCAAACTACGAATTCTCTGCATTATATTCACACCACACATTGCCCTCAGACATGACATCTCCACTGCCTCCAGCCTTCTCCTCGCTGCAACATTCATCACCCATGCTTCACACCCATATAAGAGCGTTGGTAAAACTGTACTCTCATACATTCCCCTCTTTGCCTCCAAGGACAAAGTTCTTTGTCTCCACAGACTCCTAAGTGCACCACTCACCCTTTTCCCCTCATCAATTCTATGATTCACCTCATCTTTCATAGACCCATCTGCTGACACGTCCACTCCCAAATATCTGAATACATTCACCTCCTCCATACTCTCTCCCTCCAATCTGATATCCAATCTTTCATCACCTAATCTTTTTGTTATCCTCATAACCTTACTCTTTCCTGTATTCACTTTTAATTTTCTTCTTTTGCATACCCTACCAAATTCATCCACCAACCTCTGCAACTTCTCTTCAGAATCTCCCAAGAGCACAGTGTCATCAGCAAAGAGCAACTTTGACAACTCATACTTTATGTGTGATTCTTTATCTTTTAACTCCACGCCTCTTGCCAAGACCCTCGCATTTACTTCTCTTACAACCCCATTTATAAATGTATTAAACAACCATGGTGACATCACACATCCTTGTCTAAGGCCTACTTTTACTGGGAAATAATCTCCCTCTTTCCTACATACTCTAACTTGAGCCTCACTATCCTCGTAAAAACTCTTCACTGCTTTCAGTAACCTACCTCCTACACCATACACCTGCAACATCTGCCACATTGCCCCTCTATCCACCCTGTCATACGCCTTTTCCAAATCCATAAATGCCACAAAAACCTCTTTAGCATTATCTAATACTGTTCACTTTATATGTTTCACTGTAAACACCTGGTCCACACACCCCTACCTTTCCTAAAGCCTCCTTGTTCATCTGCTATCCATTTCCGTCTTACTCTTAATTCTTTCAATAATAACTCTACCATACACTTTACCAGGTAATCAACAGACTTATCCCCCTACAATTTTTGCACTCTCTTTTGTCCCCTTTGCCTTTATACAAAGGAACTATGCATGCTCTCTGCAATCCCTAGGTACCTTACCCTATTCCATACATTTATTAAATAATTGCACCAACCACTCCAAAACTATATCCCCCCCTGCTTTTAACATTTCTATCTTTATCCCATCAATCCCGGCTGCTACCCCCTTTCATTTTAACCTACTGCCTCACGAACTTCCCCACACTCACAACTGGCTCTTCCTCACTCCTACAAGATGTTATTCCTCCTTGCCCTATACACGAAATCACAGCTTCCCTATCTTCATCAACATTTAACAATTTTCCCCAAAATATTCCCTCCATCTTCCCAATACCTCTAACTCTCCATTTAATAACTCTCCTCTCCTATTTTTAACTGACAAATCCATTTGTTCTCTAGGCTTTCTTAACTTGTTAATCTCACTCAAAACTTTTTCTTATTTTCAACAAAATTTGTTGATAACATCTCACCCACTCTCATTTGCTCTCTTTTTACATTGCTTCACCACTCTTTAACCTCTCTCTTTTCTCCATATACTCTTCCCTCCTTGCATCACTTCTACTTTGTAAAAACTTCTCATATGCTAACTTTTTCTCCCTTACTACTCTCTTTACATCATCATTCCACCAATCGCTCCTCTTCCCTCCCCCACCCACTTTCCTGTAACCACAAACTTCTGCTGAACACTCTAACACTACATTTTTAAACCTACCCCATACTCTTCGACCCCATTGCCTATGCTCTCATTAGCCCATCTATCCTCCAATAGCTGTTTACATCTTTCCCTAACTGCCTCCTCTTTCAGTTTATAAACCTTCACCTCTCTCTTCCCCGATGCTTCTATTCTCCTTGTATCCATCTACCTTTTACTCTCAGTGTAGCTACAACTAGAAAGTGATTTGATATATCTGTGGCCCCTCTATAAACATGTACATCCTGAAGTCTACTCAACAGCCTTTTATCTACCAATACATAATCCAACAAACTACTGTCATTTCGCCCTACATCATATCTTGTATACTTATTTATCCTCTTTTTCTTAAAATATGTATTACCTATAACTAAACCCCTTTCTATTCAAAGTTCAATCAAAGGGCTCCCATTATCATTTACACCTGGCACCCCAAAACTTACTACCACACCTCTCTAAAAGTTTCTCCTACTTTAGCATTTAGGTCCCCTACCACAATTATTCTCTCACTTGGTTCAAAGGCTCCTATACATTCACTTAACATCTCCCAAAATCTCTCTCTCTCCTCTACATTCCTCTCTTCTTCAGGTGCATACACGCTTATTATGACCCACTTTTCGCATCCAATCTTTACTTTAATCCACATAATCCTTGAATTTACAAATTCATATTCTCTTTTGTCCTTCCACAACTGATCCTTCAACATTACTGCTACCCCTTCCTTAGCTCTAACTCTCTCAGATACTCCAGATTTAATTCCATTTATTTCCCCCCACTGAAACTCCCCTACCCCCTTCAGCTTTGTTTCGCTTAGGGCCAGGACATCCAACTTCTTTTCATTCATAACATCAGCAATCATCTGTTTCTTGTCATCCGCACTACATCCACGCACATTTAAGCATCCCAGTTTTATAAAGTTTTTCTTCTTTTCTTTTTTAGTAAATGTCTACAGGAGAAGGGGTTACTAGCCCATTGCTCCCGGCATTTTAGTCGCCTCATACGACACGTATGGCTTACGGAGGAAAGATTCTTTTCCACTTCCCCATGGACAATAGAAGAAATAAAGAAGAACAAGAGCTATTTAGAAAAAGGAGAAAAACCTAGATGTATGTATATATATATGCATGTGCGTGTCTGTGAAGTGTGACCAAAGTGTAAGTAGGAGTAACAAGATATCCCTGTTATCTAGCGTGTTTATGAGACAGAAAAAGAAACCAGCAATCCTACCATCATGCAAAACAGTTACAGGTTTCTGTTTCACAGTAATCTGGCAGGACGGTAGTACTTCCCTGGGTGGTTGCTGTCTACCAACCTTCCTATAATAATAATAATAATAATAATAATAATAATAATAATAATAATAATAATAAAAATAATAATAATAATAATAATAGTACTACTACTACTAATAATAATAATAATAATAATAGCAATAATAATAATCATACTCGCTGATGTTAGTAAGAAACATCTTTATTAAACAATAAAGTAGAAAATAAATAAAACAAAGGTAACTGCGTCAAGATGGCAGGAAAATAATTATTGTAAAAGATACAAAAGCAATAACTAGTATTATTATATAATTTGTTAAGTTATTAGAGAAGCGAGAAGAAGAGTTTGTGTGCGTGTGTGTGTGTGTGTGTGTGTGTGTGTGTGTGTGTGTGTGTGTGTGTGTGTGTGTGTGTGTGTGTATGTGTGTGTGTGTGTGTGTGTGTATGTGTGTATGTGTGTGTGTGTGTGTGTGTGTGTGTATGTGTGTGTGTGTGTGTGTGTGTGTGTGTGTGTGTGTGTGTGTGTGTGTGTGTGAATGAGACGTACCTGGAGGACAAGTACAGTCACCAGTACTCGGGTCACACACACCATCGTTGGCACACATGCAGGGGAAGGCACAGCTGGCACCGTAGCGACCCTCGGGACATCCTGCCATAAAACAACACTTATAATATCTGGAATCCATGTTCACATATATTAATTAATGTTTAGTGTATTTGTTGAGGAGTTGTGTGGGATGACAGAGGAAGAGGAGGCACTCACTCTGGGAGCAGTCTCGTCCAGTCCAGCCAGGGTCACACTGGCACTGCCCGCTCACTCTGTCGCATGGGGCACCGCCGGGGCACTGGCACAGGAAGGCACAGTCAGGCCCATGAAGTCCCGGGATACAGGTCTGTCCACAGTAGTGGCCGGTAAAGCCTGACTTACACTCACACCTGCAACAACAACAGTGAGGCAAATGTGTCAAGAGCAACAGTATTGCAGGTGTGTGTGTATGTGTGTGTGTGTGTACTCACCTAATTGTGGTTGCAGGGGTCGAGACTCAGCTCCTGGCCCCGCCTCTTCACTGTGTGTGTGTGTGTGTGTGTCGTACCTTCCTGTGACGGGGTGACAGGTGGCACCATTGAGGCACCTACAAGCCTGGCGACAATCAATGTCCCAGCGTCCGGCACTGCATGGCTCCTGGCACTCCTGGCCCTGTAGGATGATCATTGTTATTAGTCACGGAGACACGTCACTCCTAAAATAGACGAATAAAGAATAGAGAGTTGTTACAGGGGCCACTACTGCCATCACTATCACCACCACCACCACTCCTGTCACCACCACCACCACCACCACCACCACCACCACCACCACCACCACCACAACAACAACAACAACCTCACAAACATCAACATACTGTACACAGTCTCGTCAGTAAACTTTGCTATACATCAGTACATTTTAGATTATTTCAAGTTGCAGGAGAATGATGATAAAGTGACTGACACAAGCAGGAGAGAACACAGTGTCAGGAGAATAACTAGCAAAACCCCAACACTTTCCAGGAGGAAACGTGCGGCCAGAAATAATAGCCTGGTCGATCAGACCCTGATCCACCACAAGGCCTGGTCTCAGACCGGGCCGCGGGGGCGTTGACCCCCGAAACCCTCTCCAGGTAAATCCCAGGTATAGTTCCTGATCAGCCTGGTTGTGGTGCTTACAGTGCTTTTCGCTAGAACACACAACCTGACGGATCAATCAGGTGGCTTGGTCTACCATCGGTCGACTCTTGAAACAAAAATAGTCGGAGATTAAGACACATGTGCAACACATGGTATACTGTTGAAACGTTTCGCCTACACAGTAGACTTCTTCAGTTAAATACAGAGGCAACAGGTGTAGTAGTGCAATAAAGACGATGTAAGCAGTCCATCAGTCTTGGAGAAACAGTATTTGAGGTGGTCAGTCCCTCAGCCTGGAGAAGAGTTCAGCTTCATGGTCTGGAACGATAAGTTTCAGACCATGGACTGATTAAATCATCTTTATTTCATTATTACTGCTCCATCTGTATGTGACTGAAGACGTTTACTGTGTAAGCGAGACGTTTGATCAATCCGGCAGTTGCACATGTGCTTTAATCTTCAACTTGTCGGTATTTTATACATTTTCAACAATAATCAGTCAACAAACAGTGCCTTACCATGAAACCCGGGGGACAGTGGCACTCTCCAGAGACACGATCGCAGGTGGCGTTTCCCTGACACTGGCACTCCTCCAGGCAGCTCTCACCCCAGCGACCCTCCTCACAGCCTGGACGTCAGAGAGAGTCAGAAAACATGATTCATCACCTAAGTAAGTAAGTAAGTAAGTAAGTTTATTCAGGTATACGCAAATACAGTTAAATAGAATTATCATACATAGCAGCATATGTGTAGAGAACCTAGGATAACCCAAAAAAGTCAGACAGAGTGACTTATTTCATCCTCCCCATAACAAGTGTGTGGCTGCCAGTGTTCCCTGGTCACTGTGTGATGAACCGTGCAGACCTCACCCTCAGGTAGTCTCCTACACACTTCTTCAGCAGCAACTGAAGAATCTAGCCTCTGGTCAGCTTTATGCTTTTGGTACTGATTAGATTTTCCTCAAAGGAAATTTAGTCTATTAAACAAATTGTATTTTATGAAATAACTGGAGAGTGTCTCTCCTGATCAGCAGTCAGTGTTGGACTTAACTGGAGAGTGTCTCTCCTGATCAGCAGTCAGTGTTGGACTTAACTGGAGAGTGTCTCTCCTGATCAGCAGTCAGTGTTGGACTTAACTGGAGAGTGTCTCTCCTGATCAGCAGTCAGTGTTGGACTTAACTGGAGAGTGTCTCTCCTATCAGCAGTCAGTGTTGGACTTAACCGAGAGTGTCTCTCCTGATCAGCAGTCAGTGTTGGACTTAACTGGAGAGTGTCTCTCCTGATCAGCAGTCAGTGTTGGACTTAACCGGAGAGTGTCTCTCCTGATCAGCAGTCAGTGTTGGACTTAACTGGAGAGTGTCTCTCCTGATCAGCAGTCAGTGTTGGACTTAACTGGAGAGTGTCTCTCCTGATCAGCAGTCAGTGTTGGACTTAACTGGAGAGTGTCTCTCCTGATCAGCAGTCAGTGTTGGACTTAACTGGAGAGTGTCTCTCCTGATCAGCAGTCAGTGTTGGACTTAACTGGAGAGTGTCTCTCCTGATCAGCAGTCAGTGTTGGACTTAACTGGAGAGTGTCTCTCCTGATCAGCAGTCAGTGTTGGACTTTATTGGGTTATTCTAGTCTCATTATACAGAATGTTATGTATATGAATGGTTCAGAGAACCGACATGTTGATAAATTAGACACATGTGCAACTCTTGGGTATCTTGATACCCAAGAGTTGCACATGTGTCTAATTTATCAACATGTCGGTTCTCTGAACCATTCATCTACAAACCTGTCAAACACTGCAACTTCTTGGGATCTTAATACTTGGGAATTCTTCGCTTGCCTAATTCTTGGGCACGACCTACTTCCACATTGAACAAATGTGACACGACCTATGACTGCTGCACCTCTCCTACCAACGGTTTATAAGCTCCTTCTCAGCACATATGCCGTATTCTATTCAAGATTGATGGACTGACCACATCGACTCAAGGTTGAGGGACTGATTACCTCATTCTCCGCCTGTTCTTCAAGTTTCTCCTATGTATGGACTGATGAAGTCACTATGTGGCGAAACGTTTCCTCAATAAAGATACCCAAGAGTTGCACATGTGTCTAATTTAACAACAGAATGTTATATTTATGTAGCTGTAACACCAGCGTGCCCTGGAGGCCCTGGTAACACCAGCGTGCCCTGGAGGCCCAAGTAACACCAGCGTGCCCTGGAGGCCGTGGTAACACCAGCGTGCCCTGGAGGCCGTGGTAACACCAGCGTGCCCTGGAGGCCGTGGTAACACCAGCGTGCCCTGGAGGAAGTGGTAACACCAACGTGCCCTGGAGGCCGTGGTAACACCAGCGTGCCCTGGAGGCCGTGGTAACACCAGCGTGCCCTGGAGGCCGTGGTAACACCAGCGTGCCCTGGAGGCCGTGGTAACACCAGCGTGCCCTGGAGGCCGTGGTAACACCAGTGTGCCCTGGAGGCCCTGGTAACACCAGCGTGCCCTGGAGGCCCTGGTAGCACCAGCGTGCCCTGGAGGCCGTGGTAACACCAGCGTGCCCTGGAGGCCGTGGTAACACCAGCGTGCCCTGGAGGCCCTGGTAACACCAGCGTGCCCTGGAGGCCGTGGTAACACCAGCGTGCCCTGGAGGCCGTGGTAACACCAGCGTGCCCTGGAGGCCGTGGTAACATCAGCGTGCCCTGGAGGCCGTGGTAACACCAGCGTGCCCTGGAGGCCGTGGTAACACCAGCGTGCCCTGGAGGCCCTGGTAACACCAGCGTGCCCTGGAGGCCGTGGTAACACCAGCGTGCCCTGGAGGCCGTGGTAACACCAGCGTGCCCTGGAGGCCGTGGTAACACCAGCGTGCCCTGGAGGCCCTGGTAACACCAGCGTGCCCTGGAGGCCCTGGTAAACACCAGCGTGCCATGGAGGCCCTGGTAACACCAGCGTGCCTGGAGGCCCTGGTAACACCAGCGTGACCTGGAGGCCGTGGTAACACCAGCGTGCCCTGGAGGCCCTGGTAACACCAGCGTGCCCTGGAGGCCGTGGTAACACCAGCGTGCCCTGGAGGCCGTGGTAACACCAGCGTGCCCTGGAGGCCGTGGTAACACCAGCGTGCCCTGGAGGCCCTGGTAACACCAGCGTGCCCTGGAGGCCGTGGTAACACCAGCGTGCCCTGGAGGCCGTGGTAACACCAGCGTGCCCTGGAGGCCGTGGTAACACCAGCGTGCCCTGGAGGCCGTGGTAACACCAGCGTGCCCTGGAGGCCCTGGTAACACCAGCGTGCCCTGGAGGCCCTGGTAACACCAGCGTGCCCTGGAGGCCGTGGTAACACCAGCGTGCCCTGGAGGCCCTGGTAACACCAGCGTGCCCTGGAGGCCCTGGTAACACCAGCGTGCCCTTGAGGCCGTGGTAACACCAGCGTGCCCTGGAGGCCCTGGTAGCGCCAGCGTGCCCTGGAGGCCGTGGTAACACCAGCGCGCCCTGAAGGCCGTGGTAACACCAGCGTGCCCTGGAGGCCGTGGTAACACCAGCGTGCCCTAGAGGCCGTGGTAACACCAGCGTGCCCTGGAGGCCGTGGTAACACCAACGTGCCCTGGAGGCCGTGGTAACACCAGCGTGCCCTGGAGGCCGTGGTAACACCAGCGTGCCCTGGAGGCCGTGGTAACACCAGCGTGCCCTGGAGGCCGTGGTAACACCAATGTGCCCTGGAGGCCCTGGTAACACCAGCGTGCCCTGGAGCCGTGTAACACCAGCGTGCCCTGGAGGCCGTGGTAACACCAACGTGCCCTGGGCCCTGGTAACACCAGCGTGCCCTGGAGGCCGTGGTAACACCAGCGTGCCCTGGAGGCCGTGGTAACACCAGCGTGCCCTGGAGGCCCTGGTAAACACCAGCGTGCCCTGGAGGCCGTGGTAACACCAGCGTGCCCTGAAGGCCCTGGTAACACCAGCGTGCCCTGGAGGCCCTGGTAACACCAGCGTGCCCTGGAGGCCGTGGTAACACCAGCGTGCCCTGGAGGCCGTGGTAACACCAGCGTGCCCTGGAGGCAGTGGTAACACCAGCGTGCCCTGGAGGCCCTGGTAACACCAGCGTGCCCTGGAGGCCGTGGTAACACCAGCGTGCCTGGAGGCCCTGGTAAACACCAGCGTGCCTGGAGGCCGTGGTAACACCAGCGTGCCCTGGAGGCCCTGGTAACACCAGCGTGCCCTGGAGGCCGTGGTAACACCAGCGTGCCCTGGAGCCCGTGGTAACACCAGCGTGCCCTGGAGGCCCTGGTAACACCAGCGTGCCCTGGAGGCCGTGGTAACACCAGCGTGCCCTGGAGGCCGTGGTAACACCAGCGTTCCCTGGAGGCCGTGGGAACACCAGCGTGCCCTGGAGGCCCTTTTAACACCAGCGTGCACTGGAGGCCGTGGTAACACCAGCGTGCCCTGGAGGCCGTGGTAACACCAGCGTGCCCTGGAGGCCCTGGTAACACCAGCGTGCCCTGGAGGCCGTGGTAACATCAGCGTGCCCTGGAGGCCGTGGTAACACCAGCGTGCCCTGGAGGCCGTGGTAACACCAGCGTGCCCTGGAGGCCCATGGTAACACCAGCGTGCCTGGAGGCCGTGGTAACACCAGCGTGCCCTGGAGGCCCTGGTAACACCAGCGTGCCCTGGAGGCCGTGGTAACACCAGCGTGCCCTGGAGGCCGTGGTAACACCAGCGTGCCCTGGAGGCCCTGGTAACACCAGCGTGCCCTGGAGGCCCTGGTAACACCAGCGTGCCCTGGAGGCCCTGGTAACACCAGCGTGCCCTGGAGGCCCTGGTAACACCAGCGTGCCCTGGAGGCACGTGGTAACACCAGCGTGTCTGGAGGCCCTGGTAACACCAGCCTGCCCTGGAGGACGTGGTAACACCAGCGTGCCCTGGAGGCCGTGGCAACACCAGCGTGCCTGGAGGCCGTGGTAACACCAGCGTGCCCTGGAGGCCGTGGTAACACCAGCGTGCCCTGGAGGCCCTGGTAACACCAGCGTGCCCTGGAGGCCGTGGTAACACCAGCGTGCCCTGGAGGCCGTGGCAACACCAGCGTTGCCCTGGAGGCCGTGGTAACACCAGCGTGCCCTGGAGGCCGTGGTAACACCAGCGTGGCCTGGAGGCCGTGGTAACACCAGCGTGCCCTGGAGGCCGTGGTAACACCAGCGTGCCCTGGAGGCCCTGGTAACACCAGCGTGCCCTGGAGGCCGTGGTAACATCAGCGTGCCCTGGGAGGCCGTGGTAACACCAGCGTGCCCTGGAGGCCGTGGTAACACCAGCGTGCCCTGGAGCCCTGGTAACACCAGCGTGCCCTGGAGGCCGTGGTAACACCAGCGTGCCCTGGAGGCCCTGGTAACACCAGCGTGCCCTGGAGGCCGTGGTAACACCAGCGTGCCCTGGAGGCCGTGGTAACACCAGCGTGCCCTGGAGGCCCTGGTAACACCAGCGTGCCCTGGAGGCCCTGGTAACACCACGTGCCCTGGAGGCCGTGGCAACACCAGCGTGCCCTGGAGGCCGTGGTAACACCAGCGTGCCCTGGAGGCCGTGGTAACACCAGCGTGCCCTGGAGGCCGTGGTAACACCAGCGTGCCCTGGAGGCCGTGGTAACACCAGCGTGCCCTGGAGG